TACCAGTACGCAGACATCGGGCGAGGTCTTCGTACCAGAACTTGATCCTTAGTCCCAGGACTAGCGCGAGTCCTGCTTTTTTACCAGGACTTCCATTGGGCCCTTGCCAAGCACGAGGGACGTGAATATTGTTACTGACCAACATTGTCGTGCCTCGTCCAGATGACCCTGCCGATACACTTGGTCGGGCATTAAACTTGAGGTCAGCCGTTACCCGAATGAACTGTCGGCCAGCTCCCGCAGCTATGGTTTTGCTGTCTTATACTTCATGTTCCCGTCAGGGTGGATGGTTCGGTTTTCTATAATGCTACGCTCGCGACGGAACGATAATGCAGTCGCTACGTCGAAGGAAAGTGCGAATTAATCTTTCCGGCCCGGGGTACTTGAACCCTTATTGAAAATCCGTCCGCCTTTGGGGTACACGACAGCGGCGGCGCGCTCTTCGCTCTTGGCGGTGTCCGGCGAGTCACGCGCGGAAGGAATCGTTCATCAATCGGAGGAATTCGCGCCAGTAGAGAACACGGTCCGCGGAGCACGAGGGCGGAATCCCACCTCGGAGAGCAGAGGGACCCGCGCCGGCCGGAGCACGACAGTTCCCCGGGTTTTTGAATAAGGCCCGGGCCGCGAGTGAAGGATCGGTCGCCCGATTGCGCCGGGGAAAAAGAGGAGACGGTGCGGCCGACCTTGACCCCTTGGGCGCCCAGCACGCGTCGGAAGAGTCTCGGGCGGAGGAGACGTGGTCAGCGACAGGCTGAATTGATGAAGGAGCGCGTCGGGCCCGAGAGAAACCTATTAAGCGGTCTTATCCGGCGCTTCTTCTGGGTACCATCGGCGCCTCGCTTCCTTGACAAATCTGGCGACTGGCGCCGAGTGTCGTCGGGTGGCGTACGCGGCTCTGCCCTGGTCGCCCGCGAAGGGGTGACTGTCCTCCGGGCGTCGATGCCTCTGCGGGGGTTCGCCGGGGGCATTGCTTTACATCTGCCGCCGGTGCTGCGAGTTCCTCCACCCCCGTGGCGGTCATGGGGGCTCGTCCTTCCTCTTGCCTGCTTGCCTCGGGCGCCTGGGGCAAGCTGCGTCCGCGTGGAGAAATGCCTGCACGTATGAACCGTTCCGGTATTCATCGTGGAAGCGCATTTGCATCGGTACTGCGTCTGGTTCTGAGCGCGCTCAATCGTCGCCCGGTATAATGTGCGTCTACGCGGGCAGACAAGCCACTCCGTCCTTTTCTCTTAACTGATTGGCATGCATTGACCCATTCTCCGGTTTTGAAATGGAGCTTGCCGAACGACAGTCGTCATGGTAGGGGCCCGAGGAAGCTTAACCGCGCTCTTTGTGGAGCGCGCATTCGAGAGAAATCGAGCAACCATTGGTGGATGCTTCTCTGAAAAGGAGTGTAGAATGTAGCTACTTCGATTTTAAGAGGGTTGGACGCGGCTGTTTCGGCTAATTTGCATTTTTCATCTTTTGCTTTAGTTTTTTTGTTTTGTGGCGTATGTGTATACAAAAAATCGGGTGATTTGAAGCGAGACAGCATGCTCCAGCGCCCTCTTGGTCACTTAGGTCAACGCCTCGGGAGCCTAACGGTAAAATAGTAGGCTATGCAGTCTGGTACACGTTGGCGGTAATTAGATTTCGCCTTGACGGTGTGTGTGTCGTGTTTGCACTCGGAAACACGGGCGAAGGGTTGGGTGGGAAGCACCTGTCAATCGCACTTTGCCGCCGTCTCCCCGTGTATGCACTGGCGGGCAGCTCGGACCCTGCGTGGATCGGGCAGCGGACCGAGGCTATCGCTCCTGGACAGAACAGCACGTGTTCGCCCCCCTATTGCTTCCCCCGGGAAGTGGATTTTGGGGGCTTCGAGGCGAAATTAGTGCTGAGTCACGATGCGGCGGCGGCATCAGGTGACTGAGTCACGACTCCCGGGGTCGTTCCCCCGGTCGGCGGGGGGAGTTGGTCAGCGGGAAGGCTGTCCCGCTTCACTAATGCCGTCCGGCGCGTTGACAATATCGGCGGTTGCAAATGACGCGTCTCCCAGATGCGCGCGTTCTCGCCGGCCGCTAGCGACGTCGGCCTTCGCCGTGCACACAAGTGACTCAATGTCGGGCCGCTTTTGTTGCAGTCTGATTGGATGGAGTCCCACCCCTACGAGGGTATTGGGGGAATGCCCCGGCGCGGAAGCGTCCTTGATTAGCGGGGAAGGGGTCGGTGTCGCGCGATGCTGCCGCCGCCGCCGCTGCTGCTGCTGCTCGCTGCTGCATGCTACTGTGACACGGCGTGTATGCCCGAGGGATCGCGGGTTGGCTGCCACGCGTTCGTGTGGAGCGCTACCCGAGAATAGCGTGTCGGAGAGCGCTCTCCACTAAGGCTGAGTCACCTGGAGGTGCGATCAACCACGTAAATATATGGAGAGCGCAGAGGATGCATTTCTGCCCGTTTGTCTCGATTATTTTTGGCACCATCTTCGTCGGGGTGTCTTGGGCAGAGGACGAATTGGATCGATCGATGCGATTATACTCAAGCCCCACTACACCGGGTTTGCTCCGTTTCAGCAAAACTTGGCAAAGGGCACGGGTATCAACGGTCGCGGCGAGGCAATCGGAGCGCAAGGCGACGCACGCGACAACGTACCGTCGAAAAAATAGACGCCTGCTGGGCACAGATGTCACGAGCTTCGCGGTTGCTATAGTTGGCTCATGTCAATCAGATTACTTGGAAACGATTACTTTTTTTGGGTAATTTTATAATGATTTGAATACATCTATTATGAAGTAATCGTAAGAGTAATCTGATTAGTTTTTGAAGTAGTAGAACTTCTACTACTTTTCCCTCTCCTTTCTAAGGGCGTCCTTCCTACAAGTTTCCCACGAAGGAATCCTCGAACCAAGTCTGTGACAGGGAGATGATTTACCAAAGTTTGTGGATTGAAGAGATACGTTGTTCATTATCCGGTGATTTTAATTCAATAATGAACAATACGAAATACCCGTTTTTGTACCGGCAAAAAAAAAAAAAAAGTCACTTTGAAAGTGAAGTAATTGGAAAAGTAACTTAATTTTTTAAGTAACAGCCAGTTACTTTTCTTCTGAAGTATTCGAGTGATATAATTGAATACATTTTAACCGAGAGTAACGGTCATTGTAATCGATAAACGACATATCGATATCAGAACGACAACCACTACGGCGTTCCGCACAGGATGAAATTTTGCTTGCTGCGAACAGCGCAGCTAACCCTTAATTGTCATTCAGATACAGGTTGGAATGTTGGGAACATCGTATTTTATTGCTCTCGTGGTATTGTGCACCGCAAGGTTGAGCTATGGTCCAAGCTCTGTGAGAACTTGCGACTTGGTAACTCATGCTGCGCGCTTGGACATCGTGGAACACGTCGGTGCTCAGTGAGCCGTTCCTTCTTGCGAAAGTGTCTGCACTTAGATTCTTTTTGTTCTACATAATTGATGGGCGAACTCATCTTGAGTTTTCTCGCGTTGTAGCCTTTCCGACGCCACTCCCTTACCGGTGTTCTGAGACCTGGACGCGTACAATGATTTTTGCAATCAACCCGGGTCTGGTAACTGCGTTTGATTTCTCGAGAATCTTGGAGCAGCACTGTTACTTGTATGTGCCATTTTCAGTCTTAGATGCTTTCCTTGGCGATGACTGCATACCTTCAAAACGATGAACGTAAATAATTAGCAACCGATCCCTAAATGGGCCCAACGTTTCACTATTAATTCGATTTCTTTTTCAGGGGCGACTGCGACCGTTGAGAAGCGGTCACAAGACGCCCCTGAAGAAGCAGCCGAATTAGTTTTAAAACGTTGGCACATTTAGGGATTGATTGGTTTTTACGTTCTTTCGTTCATATTTTAACCCAACCAGACAGACTCTAAGACCTTAGTAATGTCGGTTTTGCCCGTGAAAAGAAGAGCGGACGAGATACTTTCGGTTGCGCAGAATTTTTGTTATATATGGGTAGGCACTGTATACATCAATAAAGTAAAAATTGATGCGTCACCAATATTTCTTTTTTTTTTGGAGCAGCGAGTGATGGCCACCAGTTTCGTTGTATACAATGTTCACTCCTACGCTGACAGGCGAAATCATCCGTTGGCTTCTTTCCTTGTGACCGCGCTCTACGCTAGTGTCTTTGCTCGGAGAGTGTAGTCACCTGGTTGGTGGTTCTTTGGTCCATTGGGTACGCAGCCTTCGCTCTGCGTGTCGACCTAAGGGTAAATAGAGTATATATTTTCGAATTCCAGAGGAAACGGGGGATACCCTCGAACTCAAACGTACCGTTTCCATTTTGTGATTTCATGTGCCTACTTTATTGCCATCGCCCAAACTCCTTTCCCTGGACAACGTTCTCTTTGGAAGGGGATGACTGGAGTCAGATTAAAGCTAAATCAGAAAGGCTTTAATGAGGAATGTTTTCTTACGATGTGTGGTTAAAATAAAATCCTCGAGAAATTTAATTTTTAGAGCAGAAGTAGTTGTGTAAGTCTGTCAGTACAATTTACGAAAGTAATTACGCTGAAAAGTGCAAAACGTTTTTCTTTCCTTTCTTCTTTTCCTCTTAAAGGTACATTTTATTGTCGGGTAGAAGACTTCCTGGTTGCCCTTTGAAGCGCTGGCGAAAAAACAAACATGTGAATTTGTGTTAATTTTTTTTTTTTTTTTTTGAGTCAAGTTTAGCGTAGCTTTCCCTTAGCCATCAAAGCTACTTGTGCGAGCGCATGGAAATGATACGCAAGACGAAGCCGGTAGGAGGCTGCAGCACTCCGAGAACAAAGCTAGCCTTGGCATTGAAGCTCCCAAAGGTTGACGCCGAGTATAGTCCTTTGTTTCGAAGCTGCGGCCGTCTCCTGGTTTGCGTGGAGACTTCTTTCCTCGTTGCTGTCTCGTCGAATTCGGCACAGCGGGGGAGAGAAAGCGTAGAAGCGAGCGCGCAATAAAAGGGCCGAGTTTTGTGCTCACCGGTGACGGCGTTCTGTGGTGCAGGCGGTGCTTCAGGAGCACCGGAGCAAGCAGGCGGCCATGTTGGAGATCCGGCCCCGGAACCTAGTGCCGGACACCAACTGCTTCATCGACCACCTGCCGCTGCTGCAGAGGCTCGTCGCCGACGGACACTTTCAGGTCTTCGTGCCCATCGTCGGTGAGTGCCCGCAAAGCGCGCTCTGCATGGTCGGGGTGCACGGCTAGGACCAAGCATGCGCGCAGTCCGCGGGCTACTCTGTGTGCTCTGCTGGAGCTACTTGGGACTCGCTCAAGCTCGCAACATTTGGCTGGTTTCTAACGGTTTCTCTGATCAGGCTCTCAGGAACCGTTAACGGTGCCTGTCGGTTCGTGAAACGGTGAAACTATACAGGGCCGAAAGCGCCAATACTTCCACGCCTTGTCTTTACTTTGTGCTCTCGAATGCTCAGATGCACGACCTGATCGTCTTAGGGGTCGGTTATCAATACTTGTGCACGCTGTTCTCCTCGGTGCCACATGCTTTTAAGGCAACGAGTGACATCTCGAGCGCGTTTCCGTGACTCGGAAACTTTGGACAGTATAGTTTCGTGTAGTGTTGGCGGTAACGCGTTACAAGTAACGGCTTTACTGGTTACGCGTTACTTTTTTTCGGTAACGTGTAACGTACTCGTTACTTTTTCAAAACAGTGACGGGTAACATACGTTACTTATGTCAAGTAACGGGTAATGGCAGTTACGTTGCTCGTTACTTTTTCTTCCCAAGACTTAAACAAATTACACGTCACTTTTTTTAATGTTTCAGGCGCCAAGTTTTTAAAGGTTTTAGTTTTCTTTTTTTGTTATTCCTCGCATTTTTTTTGTGAGTCTTTAGTTGAAATCGTAACAAAGATAAAGTAATTATGTTCAGCTTCAGCATGAACATAATGTTTCTTTAAACATGGCGCTTATGCAAAACTGTGACGTCAAAACAGTAAAACGAGATAAATTATAATTTAAAAAGTATCGCAAAAGTAACTTGCGTTACCTTTTATCGGTAACAGTTCCTTTTATTTTGAAGTAACGTGTGTCGGTAACATGTTCCTTTTATTTGCAGGTAACGAGTTACTTTTTTTTTTTTGGTAACGCCTACAACACTGGTTTCGTGTTTGATCCTTCTTTTTTTCGGGTATCTTCACCAAATGTGAGCGAGTGGTCTCGGCTGTCGAGATCGATGTCATTGGGTCCTTGACCGTGTCAAGGACACCCCACGAGTGAAGAAACTATCATGGTGTAATACGCCAAAACAACAGGGACAGACAAAACGAAGGTAGAACTAGACAGGACGCGGCGTAACTTTCAACTGAATTGTTTATTGAGAAGACAGAATTTAGGAAAAATATACTATAAAAGCAGGCACACGTGGCAGAACAACAGATATGGTCCAAAAACACACCCCCCTCTCAAATGCCAGCGTCATTGGTTCTTCAAATAGTAGAATTCTTTATCAGTCAATGACAAAGAGGGAACGCTTATGCAAGTATTGTCGTGGTGGGACCTAATCAGGAAAGCCTCATGAATTTCTCTTGCCGTTTTTGTTTTATAATGGCCCATGACACAGGTGTCACCAAAGATGGGGCTGCACTTTTCAGAGTTGGGCCCGCAATCGCAACGGTCACAATGAACCGCTAAGTGGCCAGACGGGGACTGTCTGATCGCCAACGCATGCTCTCTGACCCTATCAAGATGAAGAAACTATCGGCGCAGATAGTGTCCTCGAGAACACGGGCACCAGGAAGGACGCCTTCCTCCCGTCACAGTTATACGGGGACGTGTTCCGACCGTTGGTTGGCGCCGAGACGCAGTGATCTCGCGACGCTCCTGGGGTCATCTCCGGGCCGTTGTTCGGACTTAATTCGTGACCGCGAGGAGAGCGCGAGGCGTCGAAAGGCTTTCCTCATTGAATCATTACGTCCGCTGGCCGTAAGCGAGTTCGCCGCTTAATTTGGCAACTGGTTCCGGATGGCCCTCTTCTTTTTTTCTTTTCGGCATTGTTGGGAAGACGTGAGCGGTCTTCCAGAGGGGCGCGGTCCCTCCCCTGTGATTGTGGCGGGGCATCTCCCTGACAGCCGTTTCCACAACCCTTTCCGCTTATTTATGGTCTCCGCGTCGAGAGGGGCGACCCCCGCGCCTGAATTAATGGTGGGCGCAGCCCCCCGTTCTCGTCGTGCGTGCGCCTGCTTGCACCCCGCGTGTACACGGAGCTGCGATGAGCCGCCGTCGGGTGATGCGAACGCTCGTAGTAATGGACGCTTGATTGGGCTTTTCGTCCTCCAACTAGTTTAATTTTCTCGCCGTTTTGACCCCGACTCTTAATAGCTCGCCGGCGATAATTATGCGCTTCACTTTCGCTCTTCTATCTGCTGGGGGACGCTTACGATCCAAGGCCAGTGGATAGGCTACTGAATGTTGCGCAAGTTTTTCCCTCTACGAAACAAGTCCGAGTTTGGTTTCTGAAATAGAAATGTTTGCTGGTAGCACGGGCTGTCTCGATCTAATAACGTACCGTGGCGTTCGGTGCGTGTTGCGCTAAGACCACGCTTTCAGGAACTACGAAGCTCTGCCTGAAATTATGAGTAGCTCTTCTCTCACTTATCTATAGGCCATCGCAAGTATAGCGCCCGACTGGTGTCTCGTACGTGCGAGCACGGGCAGCGTGGGCGTGAACCTAGCTTTGGCAAGGTTGCAATATCAGGTACTTGCCCGCAGGAGCAGGGCGGGCCGCCAGATGCCCTGCTTGCAATCGTTTGTGGACCTTTTTCGCGTAACCTCATACCAACGCGCAACTGACGTACCCTGGACCCGATTCATTTTTGGATTGCCCGCTGACACAAAGTATGCAACCGCCGAGGGGTATGGGCGAAAAGGCTAAGAGACGGACGTCGTGCGTGAGTTAGTCCCGAGTGCTTCTTTTTACCGTATTACAATTTCCGAAAATCTACGGTTGTCTGGCTATCATAGTGTCGTCGTCGGATGCATACACAATTTTAATAAGCAAAAGAACAATCGCGGAAAGTGTGCGATGAGCACAAAAATCTGGAGCAGCGCGAGTGTGGCTGCAATATTAACTTTCACGTGTTCCCAAGGTTCCTTCTTTATGAAGTCAGTCGATTGCGACCATGAATCGCGAGGGCTTTGTATGAGACTCATCGTCACGTTTATGCTCATTACTACTTCGTCTACTGCAAGAGGAGCGGTTCCAACCCGATTCAGGTGCTCCGATTAGGCTATCACTTCACCGCAAAGTGTGCTATTGCTCCTTAGCATGTAAAATGTATGAAAACGTCTACGTGCCACCACTCAACATGCAGCTATCAAATGCCAAGAGCTTACCTGCATAGACTACATTAAGTTCCTCATATGGAACCTTCGTTGTGGAAACACAACGCAAGGTGATGACCTCTAATTACCCAGGTCAACCGCTACGTTCCAGCCAAGTCATTGTAGTCTACCATAGCCAAGTCTAGCCAAGTCCTCCTTTACCCAGACCGTTGCCTGCCCAGATAGCTGTGCTGTCAGAACAAGCGGGTATTTAAAATTTTAAGCCACAAGACGGCATCGTCGGCGCCGCAATTCTGAAAATGACGGCGCCCTTAAAGAAAAATAAAGAAAAAAGAAAAGGCCTATGTTTAGCGGCTCTTTCCATCATTCCAATGTTTACAAGTCCAGAGCGTGTGATCTCCACAGCCTGGAACGGGCATGTTTGTCGCTTCGCGAAGTGAACAAATCACGCGCCATACGTACGAACAGTGATCTGTATGACAATTGTTGGATCGCTCTTCCCCGCTCCGCGAGTGCGGTCACTGGACGGCCATCTTGCATGCAGCGAAATCGCGTTTTTGCGAGGGTTGCAGAGGCTGGCGGCAGCGTGCTGAAGACACATTTTCTACTCGTTCGTCGCAATTCGCCGAAGAAGTTTCTTAAACCCCTGCGAAAACGGTGAGCCTTTCCTTCGAGAATACGTGGAAATATTTACGAAAACGCAGCGCCGCAGGAACAAGGAACAACTCGTCGAAAGCAAATTTCACCGGTCTCGCGGCGTGATCAAAGCCTCCTTGGCACGTCGAAGTGCAGCGTCTCTGTGCCTTCGCACGTTTGGATAGAATGACGACGATCGAGTAGAAAACGTGTCCTCAGTAAGCTGCCGCCGGCCTCTGCAACGCTCGCATAAAACCCGATTTCGCTGCATCCAAGATGGCCGTCTGCTTTGCGGTGGGCTCTCTCCGCTGCAGCGACCAAGCGGGGATGCGCGATCCAGCAAATTGTCCTAGAGATCAGTGGTACCAACTCTGAAAATGGTACCGTCGGCCTTTCTTGGAAAGGTCTATACACCTGACGGCGGCTGTTCGAAACAGCGTCTGATTCGAGACTGGAAGAAATCACTGCTGCGCAACGCTGCAACACGTGCGGCACGCGGAGACATAGCCTTCACAGCGTCCGAGGAGACACTTGCTCAAATGTTCATGCTTCGGTTGCGCGGGGAACGGCCGACTCTTGTACTGCGCATGCGCGAGCAGCCCATCAAAGGGAGTTTGTACACCCGCCGCTTGGTCCGTCATTATGTCAGTGATGAAAGCGCTGCGGCATTTGCGCCAAATTGCGCCATGAACGAAAGTCTGCTACACCTTGGGCCAATAGGCCATTTTTGCTAATTGCGCCAAACCTTCGACTTGCTTAGAGTAAAAATAATGAATATTTTATTATGACTTTTACAGCGTCTCTACTCACCATATAGGTCAGAGCACAGTCGAAGGCTCGAACACGTACAACCACAAATACACACATTAAAAGCACGAGTCACGGAACATTCGCTGCACTTGATTGGTTTCGCCCACGAAAGAACACGTACAAGGAGATGACGAATGCCACGATGTCGCGCTTTGATGCCACGAATCAACCGGCCGGAGCCGTTGATGCTGGTCTTCAACCGTTCTGGCCGGTTGATCCGCTGCCTGGTTGATCGTCCAAACTTCCAGACGATGTCGTCGATGTCGCGAACTAAGAGTCCCGAGAAAACTGTGCAAAATATAGTATAATTTCCGATTGCGGCTACTGCGATAAAACAGAACCAGGGTCTTGTACCCCTGATAAGATCACTTATTTATCGCCTCAACCTTCACCCGCCTCTCACCAGCGTGCGCG